TAACTAGATACAGTAGTACCTCTGATAAAATTTATACATGCCTCAGTCTAAGCATTAAGATAGTGTATCTTACATTTTTAAAATTACATTTAATACTTTGAGGATCTGTGAGAACCCTGAGAATGTGCCTGCCAAGAAATTGCTGGTAACCTGCCAAAGAGCTGGTATGGTAAACAACCTAGGTAGCTACAGCCAACACTTGGCTGAACGTTCCAGCTCCGTACTGGTACTGGCAGCAGTCCTACACACATTTCATCACCCATTTCTACATTTGCTCAGATTCATTCGCCTGACTGAATCTGTAGACTTCTATATATAATGAGCACAAACGGTACCTGGTATCACACTTATTATTCTTTACATCACAAATGTCAGAAGTAAAATAGTTTAAAAGCTTCACAAAATATCTAGTGACACATATAGAGGTGACCATTTTCATTTTAGTCAAATGTTCAAGAACTGGAAACGGTATGCTTCCATACTGCCTGTACAGCTGCAGAACAGTCCAAGCATCACTCACCACATCTCGGCAAGTATGAGAAGGCAGACAGGCACAGTGCACTCACCTGCCCCCTCTGCCCATGCGGCGCCGGGAAAATCCTACGCAGTGCCGTGGTATGTTCAGCGAGGTCAGAGAGTAGCGGAAACGAGGGTCACCAAGCCCACCCTCTGACGGGCTTACCCAGGGCCAGCTGCCACTCTGGTCTGGATGAGGCTGAAAGAAGATGAAGGTGAGATGTAGAAACTGATAAAGACAAAGGTGAGTCTTCATTATTGCACTGTCCTGTCCAGCAGAGTGTGGAAGACTAACAGCCTGGGCACCCAGACTGGTCAGACTGCTGCTGGCACTATAAATAGAAGCACGGGAGGCACAGGAGTGCACTCACAGCGTAATACTGACAGCCGGCCTTCCTCCTGAATGCATAGCAGCCATCTGGGTCATTCTCTTCTTCAGCTTCTGAGGAACCTGAATGGATCTATACAATCAAAACAATTGAATAAATAGCTTAGAAGTATTAGCATTTAGTATTAGTTTCCATATAAGAACTATACTGAATTCATGTCTCACACACACAAAAAAATGATCATTCACACTCAGTTGGGGAAAAGAAATATTACCTGCGAGAAGGGTTCATCATCTGAACTGGGGAAATCGTACTGGTTAAGGTCCTTGGGATTGAACACAAAGTGCCCTGAATGTTGGGGTGCAGACAGAGGAGGGATCTTGGGTTTCTTTTCATATTTCCTTTTGGTTCGAACTGCCTCCATCTTCTCAGGCTATGATGAGGGGAGGGAAATAGTGGCAAAATATTTATATATTACCATCTCCAAAATAAAAAGGGCATTTCAGATGCAAAGCAATACTGCTGATGGCAGCTCGGTGCTGACAGTCAATGCACAGGCAATAAGAGTGTGTGTAGAAACAACAGTGAGTGAACGAGGCATTGATATGCAGATTGTAGCACGTGCCAGATGCCACTGCCTAGCAAGATGGCTGCCCTGCCCCCCCTACCGTGTGCCACTATTCACCCCAAATACCCCTGCAGGATGACTCCTCCCTGCCTGAACAGACTCCAACTCGAACAGGATTAGTCAGATCATATTCAGTCAGTAGACTTGGGGATACAGCAAACACAAAACTATCATGTCATATCAATAAAAGAAATAAGGGTTGGAGTGATGGGGAAAGAGAGCAGAGCTAAGCCAAACTTAGCATTTGTAAACAAAAGAGAAAGTCAACACTGATGGAGGACAATGGAGGAACAATTGCCTCCTTGTAAAGCAGTGGGAAGATTTGCTAATGAAGTTATAATGAGAAGAGGTGACAAAAGCGGTGTGTACAGCAAGTGTTACATTATCAAAGAATATGACTGCTTTACTATCAGGGTTTTAGCTGAGGGTTAAAACTACTTGCTCAGTTAGGTTTTGACAAATTGGCATTTCTATCTGTGGTGGTAGCAGGCACCACAATGAGTCTACCATTTAAATTATGTATCATTTCAACTTTTAAAATACAACTGTCTAATCTCAGTAGTATTCATTGTATGGTACAGTTTACTGCAATGCAGCTGATCATTTCAGCCATCTTCAAAGTGAAGAACAAATGTCTGTGTTGTGTACAACTTTACCTTCTTGTAGTCCTTCATGTCCAGGTGGTCCTGGTGTCTATACAGGTTACTGCTGGACAGGGGAATGATGGGGATGGTATAGATGGGTTTTACCAGAGCCTGCTGCACCAGTGCTTCTGCCATCACCTCACTGCCAAAATCAGGCATTGTATTCCTAAAATAAATAAATAAATAAATAAATAAAAAAAGAGAGAAAGAGTGAGAAGTGCAAAGCAGTTGGTGACAATAAATCAGCCCATTTACAAGTCAGCTACAGAACAGATTTAATGATTACTTTATAGTTAAATGGGACCACTATTTCAAAGCATCAGTGTTTCCTTTACACTTGTTTATTTGTGGCAGCCTGCCACAGCATCAACACTGTCCACCTCATATTGATTTTTCTGTTACTATTTAAAATAGATAAAATCTTATTTCACTGGTGCACAGCACACTGACTCACTTAGCCCCCCAAATACACTGACAACAAGCCCTCTTCTCCATGTCTGCCTATGCTCTTAACAAAATGCTGTCGATCACCGAGACCCATCTCTTCAAATACGTTATTAGCAAGCATGTGAGGAGTCTAGCTAGTAAGGATAGCTAAGCTAATATTAGAAAACAGTTGGGTTGCCAACAGCCTGTCTTCTGCCTTGTCGTTCTGTATCAACAGTATAATACTGGCAATGGGGGGTGGCAATGTTGACCCTACAAAATGCCGCCATGGGAGGAAGTATTTTTGCTGAGGAGTTCACACGTCTTCCTGTATAAACAGAATGAGGTAGAATGGGGGTTGGAAGTCCATGAGAGGATGAGCAGTCGGATGTCATGATAAGCATCACACCAACAGTCCGACAATTCCAGCAGCAGTGTAAAATGAACACAGGAGCAGCAGTTTGCCAGCTTTTTAGGTTTTACAGTAAACAGGCTTAAATAAAAAAAAGCTGACTTGAAGAAGAGTCAATACACTAGCGGCCTGCTGCAGTCTCTGTATAAAAAGGGTCGCAATATTTTTGTTAACTCGATTGAATTAAAGCTGAAAGTCTACACTTCAATAACATCTTGAGTGCTTCATTTCAAATCCACTGTGGTGGCATACAGAGGAAAACTTCTGAAAACTGTATCACTGTCCAAATAGTTATGGACCCAACTGTTCACCACGCAGTCGACCCGTGCCACTCTACACCAGCATAACATTATGGAAAGAGCCTGAAAACCTTGAGAATACCGTTGTCCGGTCTGGGAGTGAACATGATGTGCAGGAAGAAACCAGGCCAGGATAACAAGAGAATATTTAAATGTCGCAAGAAAATGTAAAAACACTTCTTTGAGAGTGGCTCAATTGAAGTTCAGACTGACAGCTACTTTCAGAGGATGCTCATTTTGTCTTGATGTCATGTTTAGATGGATCACAGAGGCTCCACTGGGAGGAATAAGAACAACCAAAGTGGAGCTCGGAAAAGAAAAAAAATGTATTAAAAAGAATACACACATATAGTCTAGTGTGCTGTTTAATGGAACCACTAGCAATGACTGAGAGGTCTGTGGGCTATTTGCTCCTGACACTACTGACAGGGTAAACTACATTGATTATTCATGCACAACAGAAATGTAACTGTTAACCCCAATTAACATGAGCAGCGAAGCCTGACTTTACAGAAAACATGCGGTTGACTCTTTTATACCACCAATCTCTCACAAGTGTCCCAATGGCCTCAACTTGGGACTGCAACTTTACAAGTAAACAGCTTTATGAAAGGTTAAACCAGAACAGCCATTCAAAACACCACACAAAACGAAAAGGTCTGACACTGCAATGATGTATATGAAACATGGTTTAGAACCTGATCAGAATCCATTCCTAAATTCCTACTGGAGAGATATGAGGAAGGCACAGGGTCCAATCAAATCCATTTATGAACATCTGTCATCCAATCACACACTTCCTCATACTACTACACCCTAAAGTCCTACAAAAAAAAGCCTCCTACCAGCAGCTATTTCCTAACAAGGTAGTTGATGCAGTACCCTAACAACCACTGCCAAACTCCTTCCAAGGCCACTAATGCATGCTGGTCTTTCTTACCTCTTTTCCACAATTTCTAGTGTGAGGTGCAGCAGTTCTCTCTTGCTTTTCTCCCTCCTCTTGATCATCTCCAGGATGGTGACAGCTCGGCTTAGGTCCCTGCGCAGCTTCAGCATTTTCTCATATGACGCCTCGTCATTCTTCCGGTTCTGAAAATAGAAAGGCGATGATACAGACGTGTACAAGTATTTCCATTTATACTCAACCAATTTCAGAGCTCAAGCTGCTGAAACATTTGGTTAAATCTTTGATTGAAGGGTAATTCAGCTGCTATTAGCTAACGAGGTGGTGCAAGTAGTTACTAGGATACATCAAGAACAGCACTATAGCTTATCAGAGATCAGAGGTATGGATCTTTGGTTGATTTAAAAAAAAAAAAAAAAACACAACACTGTCCCTTAGACATAAAGGCCAATGTTATCACTGAGAATCCATAATCTGTAAACAACTATCTTCCTTGGAGTCTGCCCCATTCTCCTTGCCACAACTCTTACTTTTCTAGTCTGCATCTTCTCCGTTCGTCTCCGGAAGGCCACATAAGGGTCGCTGGTGCTAGAGCCATCCCTCTTCTCCTGTTTGACGCTGGGGATGAGGGAACCGCCCTTGCAGGTTTTCCTCTTGCAGTTCCAGTAGTCAAACACCTCCTTGATCAGCTCATCATCCTCCTTCAGCAGCAGTTTGGCTTCCTGGAGACTGACCAGCTGCAGAGCAAGACAGAGGAGACCAGTGGTCAGAACCACAGTGCTCTGACAATAAAATTAAGAACAATCTATGTGCATAATAGAGAAAATAAAACCAATACAAACACCAGATGTTTTATATTGTAGTCACAGGGTAGAGTGGTGTTAGAGGAGTCCTGCTGCCTCCAGGGACACCTCATAAACTCATACATCTAAGTTTGACAAATGTGTAGTCTACTTATTAGTCACAGATGACAAGAACAATGGCTTTCTGTAACTGCTAAAGCAACCAAGAACTAGTGAAGGTAGTGAACCATGTCTCACATTAAGAAATACACTGCCACACTTAACTACAGATTAAAGCACAATCTAACTCAGTGGGTTTATTATTCTGTGTAAGGCCAGAGATGTGTAAATATTATGCAACAAACAGAAAAATACCTGCTGTCCACTGCCTTTCTCCAGGCGGTCAATCATTTCTTCAAACTGCAAGGCAGTGATTTCCATTTTCTTCTTCAGTTTATTCACAAACGTCTCATCCTCTGAATCGAGGTCATAGTCTGGCTGTTCTGCATCCAAACTGAAAGCTAGGAGATGGAGAAGAGCTGTTACTGGATAGACAAGTAATACACTGATCCAAGTACATCATCACACAGATGTGCTAGGTAACTCCAATATAATGTGTGTTTCAAAAGTAAATGTGATGCACCAAAGTGAATAAGGCCATGTCATGAGACTTTATAATGCAGAGCCACCTGTTATTTAGCAACAGTACATTTCAGGCGAAGTCAGTTAACACTAGCCACAGAGAGTGAAATGCTGAAGCCTTCATCTTCAGACAACTACTGCCAAATTTTGCTCAAAAAAATTAACACACCACAGCAAAACAACTGTGCTTGTGTTTGGTGTTGTGCCTTCACCAACTCAATAAAGGATGGCTTTAGGACAAACACTTCTATCAAGGCTGGGAACTTAACCAACCTCTTGTTCATAAAGATTGCCTAGAAGTGAGGTTTTGTAGCAGACCTTCTAGCCAGAGCCTGGAGATTCTCCAGGCAACAACAATTAGCCTGGTGGATGGTGAAATCTAGCAGCTACTGTGACCCATGAAAATACATGTTTATTGCACTGTGACTATCAGAGGCCCAACATAATGAACACCACCTGTCAAAACCTCAGGCATTTGGAAAGGTATGCAGCATTGCATTTCACTGCACTGCACTATATTTAAAACTGTTAGATGACACATAGCTGCAAAGTTGCAACACTGGTTGCAGCAGCTGCAACAATGGAGCCATGTGCGAAATCTTAGGAACACTCCGGATAGAGGGAAGATACAGTACTTCTTTTTTCAGTGTTTCCCCTACCATTCATTTGGTGGGACGGGCTGCCAAGAAAGAAAGGCACAAAGCAGTCGTGCCTTATATATTTTCCTGGTTAAAACCAGGTAAAAAAATAAACACCCCCCCAGCAAGTCCACCCACCCCAACCAATTAACCTAGGGGAAATGCCGTTTTTGCTTGTGATCATTTCACCTCACTCTTTGCCAAATTCCATTTTGATTGGAGTTTGCTGCAACATGCTGCAACAATAATTTGTTTCTCCACAAATATCCTACTATCCCTAATTTGTCATCACCCATGGAGACTGCCCAGTTGTGTCAGACAGGATGCCTGTGACACCACATATCTGCTAACAGCACGTCTAGGAGCAACAATCACCATGTCATACACTGTATGTCAAAACAAACATTTCCATCCCCTCTGCATGACCTGACCTGCAACGCCACCAGGTTTTTCCACATAAGCAGGCCATTTTTTAGCATTCAAAAACAACTGAATTCTTTTTAGCACTTTCATTAGGTTAATTACCAGCCCTGTGTTGCTCCTTTTTCTTTACCCATCATCTACAGTGATAGCATACGGCTCCTTTTAAACACAAAATCAAAAACAAATCTCAACCAGCAGCCTAAAGCATCTGAGACCATCAGACACACCCAGTGCATCCACACAGCATCATCACCACCACATGTTCACAAAAGACAAACACAGCTAAGAGGGTAATCCTATTGCAAACAACCTGCTACTCACGCTGTATGTGAATAAGCTGCTTTGGCATCTTGAACTCCCCAGGGTAGAGGGACTCGTAATGCGTGATGTTGCACTCTGCCTCTGGGACGGGGATAACCATGTTGTCCCGTTTCTCGCCATAAACCTGCTGCGCTGAGATGGCCCGCTGGAGATGGTGCTCCTGGAAGGCAGAAAGGACAGAGCTGTTCAAAACAGAGTGGCTGCAAGTTAAGGAGAAATCCTCTTCTTAATTTAGATGCATACTGTTTTTTTTTTTTTCCATCCTACAGATGTGCTCACACAAGCAAAAAAAAGTGAATACAAGGCTTATCAACCGGAAGACAAAAATTAAATCATTATATTAAATGGATGTGCACTGACAAATAAGTATATTAGTGTTCAATAAGAATAAAGGTTAAGAAGATTGATTTAGTCAAGGAAAAAAAAAATCTTTCAGTTTATTTAACTTTTCATTAGTTCCTAGGTCTCACGGTTTCCAGTTTCAGAGGGCAAAAAAACAAAACAAAACAACAAGCCAACCAGTGATTACACATAAACAAATTTAGAAATCAACTGTGCTGCTGGCTTTATTGTGGTTTCTAGAGCAAGTCAGTCCATACAAAGGGAGATTACAATCCAGAGCTCTCACAGGACTAAGAAAAAGTAATCTGTGTGTGTGTTTAGGATGTTTGCCATCAGATGGCATCAGCTTGAGCGAGGGAAAAAAGAAGGGCAGAAAATGTGTGTGTGTGTGTGTGTGTGTGTGTGTGTGTGTGTAAGGATTTGGTTTCCTTGACAAAGGCAAAACTACTAAAAACATGGCATCTATATTTTTATGTAAATGTGCAAAACAGCTGAGCTGGAAATAATATAAAAGTTGCACCACTTAGAAGGGCATCATTCTAATGCATAATTTTAAAAATGCTCTCTCACACAACTAGGTGCAGTAGCAGATGCTTCAACTAAGTCCAGCCGTACACTTTAATGATTCGTCTGAGCACATACGGGGCAGAAGCCGAGTGATCTGACATCAGCCTGATATCTGCAGACAGCTGTTAGTGAGCATTAGCTCCTCAACAGGAACTGACTGAATAAAGCAGAATCCACAGTTCACCCAGCTTCTACGGCCTCACATCTCAGAACCAGAGATAAGCTCTCTTCAGCAAAGCAAACCGAGGGTTCAGATCAGGATACAGTCTTTTTTTAACCTGTCTCTCTTATCGACAAGATCTTTAAGTCCGCACCTGCTAACATCCTGAATCAAGGCAGCTAAGGTAGATATCGTTTACATCTCTTTATAACTTTAAATAATGTTTTTGAGTGCGTGCTGTAACAATGGGAAGTACTGGTAAGTGTACTGATGTGTCAATCCACTGAGAGTACACACAGGTGAGACTGACAGTCAGTGTAGTTGTACTTCAGTGGTTATGTTATTTTGATTGCTGCACAGGTAACCTTCCCCTCTCAACAGTGATTCATCGACCATTCACTGCAACTTTCAGTTTGAGTAAGCCAAAAAGTTGGTCAGGAAAATGTTTTCCCTAAAAGTAAACAGAAATGGCGCTGCATATCCACAGCCATGAGATCACAGATGACACACCTGCACGTTTCTACAGCAAGAAATCAGGTATTTGGCACCACAAGCAAAGTCACCAGCAAATGAGCAAACAAAATGTTTTCACATTATAAAATCTGATGAAGTCACATAAAATTATGATGCTAGAAGAATCGCACTCCATTATTAACCTTATTTTTTTTTTAATATTTTTGTGCCTAGAATCTAACCGTAGACCTACTTTAAGCCCCAGTTATGCCACCCACACCAAAGACACTGTAGCTTCTTACAAATATATATTCACTCTGTAGTCTACAGTCTTTGAAGGCCTAGTCTGAGTGGCTGATGCAACAGATGGTCAGTTCAGGCACTATGACTGAGGCCCATCTTGCTCTAACAAGTATTTTAACAGGGCTCCTACTCATTTCTCAAATTACACACTTTTATTCACAACTAAGCTTCTTGGGTACATTTGGGCCAGTGTCCAATGACAAAGCAACTGTGGCTGACAATATGACCATCTACAAAACCATGGCTGCACACGGTTAATCTTCCATTACCTGAAAACTACTTGGTAGAAAATAATTCTCAATTCATGTGGGAGATTTAAGTGGTTGTTCTCGAGTCACAAAATGGAAGTCTAAGTAAAGTTTGAATTCTTGAGTCCTAGTCAAGTCTCAAATCTCATGTGTTCCCAAAATAATGTCCCCATTCTAAGAGCAATTTCTCCAGTTGAACTGTAGCCAGTGTATCAACTAATACAGGTTTATAGCAAATTAAGTCTGGCCCTCTGAGCTAACTTTTGCTTTGTTGAATTCTGTAAACCTGCAAATCTCAAAATATGCTTCATTAAAATCCAAACATCCATAAATGTTGTATACACCATAATTCCGTGAGTTTCCTTGTTGTGTGGCCAGTAGTTGCAGCACTCATGATAGAGGCTGACCAACACAAGGTCAGACTACTGCCTCATCAAGGAGTTATCCATTATCTAGTAACAGGACCTTTTGCAACACCAATACCGTATGTACGTTTCTGAAAAACCCAACTCTGTCTATACTGAAACAAACAGTTAATCCCATTCTTCCAAGAACAAAGAATAGGCAGCAATAAGAGGAGAAAACAAAAACTGATCTTTAATGCAGGTTGTTAATAGATGCACAGTGGGCAGAAAACTCCCAGTTACAGTTTCTTCTGTCGACTGTATCTCACTTCAGAAAACACAAACTAATAATGAACTATCATTTCTCCTAGCCTCTCTATACAAAATGTTCTGGGACTCTAGCACATTGGCGCTGCTGTGCGCTGTCATGGCCACGATGCTGAGAGAAGAGAGGCAAATGAAAATCTATTTTTCACAGCACCACACACTCGTTCCATTATATGTTCCCAAGGAAAATGGATGACGCCAATAAAAGTTGCCACGGCAACAAAAGTGTGGCCTCCAGCAGGTGTTTTCAGCTCCTGCTGACTAAAGGAAGGTAACGAAGTCTTTAGGATGCCGATCTGCTCAGTGAATCAAGGCGTCTAAAGAATCCAAAGTGCTGTAATGCATGAAATGGAAATAAGTAGAAAAAAAACAAAAAATAAAATAAAAAAAAAAAGGCTGCCATTGCATTCCTTTACATTTAACAAAACTCGGACAGGATGAGACTGATGGCAGCTGTCAAGAGTACAGTTACTTTTGAAGCCTTGCAATTTGGACACCATGTTTTAAAAAGGCTTTAATCACCTCACATGTATTTCTATATTGAGGTGAACCTACTCAAATCAAAACTGAGACTTGGTCCCTATTGATGGAGATTATTGGTGAATGAGGCACCATATCTGATTCCACTGAAACTCCTCAAGCTCTGATTTCACAGAGTAATTATTTAGGTTCAGTTTAAGGCAATAAATTCTGTTGCTCCCTGTGGCTGTCCCACTGGTGGGTGTGGGTGTGTGTGTGTGTGTGTGTGTGTGCGTGAGCTTGGGAATGCGAAGGGGTGAATGGTAGGAAAACATGTGGTCACTCATCAGGCACAGTGACACTACAGTGCTGGTGGACAGAATGTGGGTCAAGTAGCAAAGCCTCGTAGTAAAACTGTACTCTTATCTCGTCTGTCACTGAGTATGTAATGTGTGTATGTGTACAGCAGGTGGGGGAGGACTGGCAGGATTTCTGTTGACTTTACAGACCCCCGTGTGCGCTTGCTTGTGTTTTGTCTGCCGAGGCATCTCAGTGGCATAGAGCAGGTCTCCTTCTGATAAAGTGAATAGGAATTCATCAGATTGGGCCAGATGAAGTAATAAGCACCTGCTAATACAGTAGCCATTACTGATTTGTCATTACAAGCGGTCAACTACCACTGCCAATATAAACTCCACCTAAACACATATTTAAGCATTTAAGGTAGGAGAATTCAAAGGCTATATCCAACCTGATCAGCTGTTTACATGGTCTATTTGTAGGGACTTAAACAAAACTAAAGCTCAACCCAATCAACTAGAGTTTGAATAAAGCCTGAATTATAAAACCACTTCACACTTAAGATGGGTTGGTTGACAGTGAGGCTACTACTTGTAAGACAACTGCATATCAAGCTATAGATTGTTTCTACTTAAGCTCACAGAAATGTAGTCAATACAAAATAAGGTCACTAAACTTACAACTGTGTGCTTCTTGCAGCTATTGCTGCAGTGTAGTTGTACTTCACCCTTTTCGTTATCAACCACTTTAAAATGGAAAAGGCAATCAAGAGCCCAAACTAGGTGAAACAATGAATGAAGCTTCACCCAAGATAATAAACACTACAGTACCATTGCAGTCACAACATACTATGCTCCTATGTCACTGTGCAATTCTGCAGGTAAATGACATATTTCGTTCTCTACGTTGTTCGCCAAAACGGCGACGCATGCACACATGTCAGGGATGGACTGGCTAACACGCAACATCTAGCTGTCAAACTGGTGTGAGGGCTCCGTGTCTCCCCCTGGTGGTTGTTCATGTAAAGTACACATTATCCGAGGCCTATCCTGCTGGCCTTTACCAAAGTCAACAAAATGGTGGAACAAACACAAGTCACGTGACTCTTTTGTGCTTTCGGGCGCAATTTCAGTTGAAACAACTGGGCACAACACGGCTTGCGAACAAAATACCGAACCATTATATCCGTTTGACAGCGCTTGCTGTGGAACGGGATCGCAACATCCTGTACTCATCGAGATCCGTCGTGTGCACGAAAGAGCAGATATGGCGGACATTTTGCACATGCTTGCGCAGACAACATAGTAGCGCCCCGTAATATGAAAACACTGCTAAAGTGATCCAACAGTAGTTGGCCCGCAATAAAACAGACATACCGATTCCTCCTCTTTTTCCATCCCAGTAGGCATCTGCGGAACCGTCCGATTGATTGAGGCATATTCGTGCAGATCAGGCAAATCTTCACAGCGGAAGATGGGTAGAGGCTTACTAGCATCCAGCGCCCGTGCCCGAAACGACAACTTACTCATTTTTATAATAAAAGATGCCGCATATATCTACTCGATCTGCTAGTAATAACAGCAGTTCTGCCTTGAGTTCTCATGGATGAATCTGTGACAGTCTCTGGAAGTCAGCCGGTCGAGGTTAGGTCCTTAGCAGCGCGAACAGAACCGGGCAGGCCCGGCTGTCGGTCGCTCTCTATCGGTTATATTTTCCCCAGGCTCCGCTGTTTCTCTCCGGTTCAATACGCCATTGCCAACATGGCGGACATTACAAACTCTCCCAGCTCTACTCTGGCTCGAAGCGGCCCCGCCCCCTCAATCACACAAACAGCCATTCCCACGCAGCTTCGCACGCGTGCGCGCTCGCGAGACCCTCGGGGTACGAGGGAAGGAGAAGGTTGGACTGAGGGTGGAGGCAAGATGCTGGACGCTGATGAAGGGATGGGAACTTCTCAGGCTTGGGATGTTCTCATTCCTTAACACGCAAGGCTTAAGCTAACTCACAAAACATATTTATTCTCTATGCGAAAAAATTTAGAAATAAAAAACCGTGGTCTGCCGCACCACAGCATTAAAATAGATAATTCTGCTTAAAATACACCACTCATAGGAGGGCTACCTTATTTAACCTTCCAGTGATACACACAATGTCAAACTTGTGTTGTGTTAAAATTAATGTGCAGCTAAAAATATAACGTTCTAGCATTAGATTAGACTGTTCTGAAAATATTGCCTCCCTGTGGTACAAACACTAAGCCTACACATTTGCCCACTGAGAATACAAATGGCCATTTTCCGTATGCTTTAAAGTTAATGCACAAATTATACAGACAAGGTTAGATAGACATAAAAAAAACACACACAAACATTATCACCTCTATAACTATGATGCTGAATACAACAATTATATATGCACCTGCAGAGGTGCACAAAACGTGAGAAACATTACAGTAAAATGGCCGCACAGTAAACACCAGTTTAGTAAAAATCTGTATTGCTGGTTTCAGATGAGAAAGGTAAAGGCTACATTTGAGTTGACTTCTTTCATTATTGCTATTTATGACTCAAAAAGTGCTAAAGTACAGTTGTCCTTGCAACCTGAAAATATGACATCTGTTACTTAAAGAAAATGATTATTAATGTTTTGCTCAACCAGCTTTGAGATGTTAATTTTGACACCTGAATTTGATTTCATTTGTCTTAGTCTTTTGACAAAAATGCACATTAGTTTGTCATATTTTAGCCTTTTGATTTTTGTTAGTTTTAGTCTAATTTTGGTGAATAAAAACAAAATAAAATTTTGTCTGGTTTATGTCATTTTTAAACTGCATTTCTACCATGGTTACTTGTGATGTACCCATCTATCGTGAGGTTTGTGGAAGACAGTTTTATTCATACAGTGTCACTCTGCTCCGCAGAAACTGGACTCACTCACATTAGTACTAAACTCCTCTTCACTAGGTTCAGAGGTGAAGCTAAATCGTCAGATAACATTAAAACAATGGAAAAACATGTAGAGATGATTCATGCCTGACTGCCCATATTAATCCTGGAACAGAGTGATAACACAAAAGATATCAGACTGAAAGGAACATTAACTGAATTTATGTTCATCAGCCCTGATCCAACTGTAGTTCTACCTAGATCAGATGTCTCAGTCCTTTCACTCAAAGATTCTGTTAAAAATCTCTGAGTAATATTCGACAGCAGATTTAACTTCGATAAGCAGATTAGGAACGTAGTTAAGACCAGCTTCTTGCACCTAAAAGGCTTTTAGCGAAGGTTAAGCCTTTTCTATCGCGTCCAGATTTAGAAAAAGCTATTCACGCTTTCATCACATCACGCCTGGACTATTGTAATACCCTGTATGCAGGGCTGTCTCAGCCCCTTTTAGAAAAAGCTATTCACGCTTTCATCACGTCACGCCTGGACTATTGTAATGCCCTGTATGCAGGGCTGTCTCAGCCCCGGTTCGCAAGTTGCAACTGGTCCAAAATGCTGCGGTTAGGCTGCTGTCAAACACCCCCAAATATGCCCATATTACCCCTGTTCTCCATTCACTACACTAGTTGCCAGTACAGTGGAGAGTGAAGTTCAAGGTGCTGCTATATGTGTTTAAGGCTATCCACCGCCTCGCTCCGCCGTACTTTTCAGACCTGTTGTACATTTATGCTCCGCGCAGAGCTCTGCGATCCACAGGGCGCTTGGCCCTGGTGGTCCCACGGTCGCGATAAAGAAATGGGGTGACTGTTCTTTTGCTGCAGCCAATCCCATCTGACAATGGGTAAGAGGCGGGGTCCACCCTGGATAGGTCCCCAGTCTATGATTCATAAACCTGGAAGCGCTAATGCCCAAGAGTAAATGTTACTGAATGTAAGACGATAGTGAAACACATCAAGCAGCTAATTCGGCTCCTGAACAAGAGAGATTTTGTCTGGTGGAGGAAACAGTTTGACTGATCAGCACCTACAGTTTGTGATTCCACAGATGTGATTAGGTCATTATGTTACTTCATGTCCATTCGTGCGTCTTTCACATTATCGTTTACTTTTTATTTGAAGAAAAATGTAAAACATTTTGTCATAGTTCTCGTCATCAAACTTTGGTTGCATTTTTGTCCTAAAAAATAGGTCATCAACAAATATTTTGTCATAGTTTTGTTAACCAAATTAACACTGGCTGATTCAACTGTATGATCATTTTACAGGTTATGCTGCTGTTGAGCCTCACTGCTCTACACTGAAAGGTATTTCTCTTACTTAACCTCATCTCACTGGTATAAATACAGTGGACAAAAAAAAAAAAACTTCTCAGTAACACTGTGCAACAACACATCAGACTATATCCTCCAAGATGTTCAGTGAATGAACATCTCTCTAAAACAATTTAAGCAAAAACTGAACATTATAGCCTCCATGGAGGCTTTACTGTTGGACTGAATTTGTTTTAGCTTGATGTACTTAATACACTGACAAGTGAATGTACAAGGCCACAACATATGTAATAATACATATTTCATGTCATATTGACAAAAAACAAAGAAAAACAACCTGTACGTTTGGGTGAGGTTCCTGGGGACATGAGTGAATGATCCATGATACATGTGGGAGTACCAGGCCTGTGAAACAGAGCGGCAATCAGTGGTGGAAGACGTACTTAGATTCTTAAGTAAAAGTAACAATACCACAGTGTAAAAATACTCTGTTACAAGTCCTGCATTAGAAATGTTACTTCAGTAAAAGTACAAAAGTATTAGCATCAAAAGATACATAATTACCAAAAGTAGTCATTACACAAGATGGCACATTTAACACTAATGCATTTGCTGAATTAGAATTACTGATGCATTATTGTGCACATGTAATGTCGCAGTTGGTAAAGGTGGAGCTAGTTTTAACTAGCTTATATGCCTATAATTGGAATCACTGCTGAGTAGTTTGTGAATTTCCCACCAGAGCTCAATAAAGTCTTTTGAGTTTTGTTTTTTTATTAACTTGATTCTGAAAAGCAACTAGTAACTAAAGTTAACAAATGTAGGAGTAAAAAGTACAATATTTGCTTCTAAAATGTAGTTAAGTCAAAGTATGAAGTAGCACAAAATGAAAATACTCAAGTAAAGTACAGATACCTTAGATTGTACTTATGTACAGTACCTGAGTAAATGTACTTGGTTATTTTCCAAAACACTGGTGACAATACAGCCAGATTAGAAAATCTATAATTATGTAATCTACTCTGTTCAAAGTAGCCTACATGGTTAATATGATTTACATCCCGCATTTACTGTCACTTTTTCTATATTCTTCTCTATTTGGCATTAATCACAATCATAAATTGAAATATTATGGATCATTGGGGAGACACGGGGAACAAGATTTGACAAATACCTTCGACACATACCCACGGTAGCGTTCCCAAGCTCTCCTTTGCTCCGTTTCTTGGTTCAAATTACAAATTACAAGGCTGGTTTCATTTGAGACGCAACTGCTTTTTTATGTAAACACGCTTTGTTGCTACAACATCCCGTAGTGCACATTAGTGCAGTTCCATATATGGAGGAGGGGGAAATATAGCAGAACACGACATAAGGGTCAGAAAATGTGTTAACGTGCACGACAAGAATACACTGCTACAGTGGCGATTTTTAAAGCAGGTCTTGTGTGACTGGGTTCATAATCCTTTGAGCTCGAAGACCTGACAGCTGAGTTTGCACAAGCAACAGCGACACCGAGGCTAGCTGACAGGCTGCTAACGCTAGCTTAGCCCAAGTTACCCTGACCCATTTACCAGCTAGCCAGCAGTTTGCGGACAGACCTCAAACAGTTTCGTTTGAACTCGCTACTAACTTCTCCACAACTGAAAGACGCAAATTTCGATTCTCGTAACGATTTCAAGAGAAAAGCTATCTTGAGCTGGGGTTGCAACTTACCTGCTGCTAGCAAAACCACAAGAGAGGATAATGATTACGGCAGTTCTTCTGGTTGTCATGTTAGCCCAATGCTAACGCTGGTTAGCTCCCTACAGGACGCCTCAGAGGAAAACGATTATAATTTATTAAATTAATTTTGTGCAGTTAATCCACTGTGTGAGGTCGGAAACAAAAGCGGGAGCAGAGAAAGATTGTACCCCGTCGCCCATGGAAAACTTACATAGTTTGTTAAGGCTACTTGTGAAAAAGAAAGACCCAAACTAACACCGAGCCACTAATGTAGGCGAAATGTGATTGGAGGGTAAATGCCACCAATCACCTGTAAAGAGCTGAGGCAGGATGAGCTCACTGGTTCCCCCGCCCACCACAAACAACAATAACAACAATAATGAAGACGCTGATGACATTTATTGAAGTTTAATGCTTAAATGATCAAATAAGTAGACTAGCAAAGGCTACACAAAATACAACCTACTTGCTTTTAATTATATGGACACAAAAAAGGCGGTCACTGACAAAATGTAACTTGATTATTTAAGGCACCTTCTGTCCAATATGTGATTAGATACAACCATAGATCTATGAGATATAACTACCACAGTGCTTTTCCAAAATTATTACAGGGTATGTTATGTAACTGTGTCCAGGGCTGGTCAGCTCCCTCCACCCCCCATCTCTGCCCTTCATAGTTGTGGCAAAGGGCTATCTCTGCTGCCTTATCTGACACTGATATTTGCACCACACTTTCAATTTTTTTATGATCAGACAAACGAAAGGGAATGTTTCATATCGGGAACATATGGAGTCATTTTGTCTAAAGCTCCACCACCATTACCACCACCTCTCATAATTCGCTGGCTGTTAAAGCTGCATGCCCTGTGACTCTGGGAGTGGAGGAGGCATTTCTATGATGAATATTTGCTCAACTCTCTCAGCAAGGTCATCAGAAACAATCTGTAGGCA